GGGTCCCTTTGTGATCTTCTTTAAGCTACATTTAGATGGTCTTTAGTTGCCTCACCAGAATTTTTATAATTCCTTCCAGGTATTTCGATATGGCCCGTGCTGATCGAGAACAGCACAAAGTGAAATATCCGGGTTGGTCAGCACGCGAGAATTACGCGGTGCACAAGCGAAAGAAGAAGAGGCGTGATAAGAGCGAGGGTAAGTTTAATTGATACGTTTTTTTCCATGACATTGAGTGGAAGTGGAGTGAAAAGTCGCTTAGCTCGTTCCGGAACATTTTGAAGGGCTTTTTTCGTTAGCATTTTGCTAAATTCTTCCCTTCGTTGTTCGTTCATCAACGTTTTTCCCGTAGTGTCTCTCTGAATATCTCAATTTCGGCTTTTTACAAACGTTCCAGCGGGATGATCAGTGATAGCGGCTTGATTCACTGTCAGAGCTCGTTGATCCAGCTAAGAAGCGGCGCGCGCGCTCTGGCTTGTGTTCTTCTCATGTCGAGTACCTGTTTTGTGTGCTTTGCCGCGACGATGTCATTAGCACCGTACAGTACACCTGAGAATTCCCGGCGAGCTAAATAAACATTGAGATGAGCTACGGTAATTCTGGCGTTCGGCAATAATTATCTTTTTCGCTCATCATGAAGCCGTTGTTAGGGTAGGGTACAAATATGGGAAAGGTTGTTCTGAATGAGACCCACAGGCGGTGGATGTTTAGCAGATTATTACAGAGAGGAAGTATGAAAGTTGATTGTGGAGGGGAGGGGGTAGTAGTAATTAGTAGGCTCGGGCACAAATCGGCTGAGGGTTTATTTGATGGATTTCTTGTGGCTTTTAGCCCTGCGTTGCAAGTGCGCCCAAGGAAATGAAGAACACCCCAGTGCGGAATATTCTGAGCAAACGGTGATGAACTACAGCGCTACTAGCGCTGCTCAGCTAAGGAGGGCGAAGGCGAGGGAGCCGGGCGAGGGCGCATTTAAAGGGACTCTTGTACAAGAACTGGGATTGGCACCATCTGAGTGGAGCAGTTATCCACGCCCCGGTTCACCGCGGAGCTCTTTCCTCCCTTTGCGCATGGGAAAAATCTTATTTCCATTACAGTAACTCTTGTTCTGCACGAAAAAGTCCTTTGTATGTACCCTCCAAGGTTACTAACGCCGACTTTTGCCATGCTCAGGTAGAAGGGAGCATCGGAGAGGATGAATCAACCCTTGGCGGAAAAGGCGGCCACTCCTCTCCCCCCCCCCTAGGGGCTAATTAACTTATCAGAAAGTAATTAAACTGTACAACACAGGCTTTAGGGTGGGGATGGGTGTAGCAGCCGAGAAAAGTGAAAGGACAAGTTACAAGTTTCCATAGCTCCAAATATGACCCACTGTTTGGCTAGTATATGAAAGTAGTAGTGACTTCCGGTACGGGTTACGCATATCCCAAATCGTTGACAATTTGGATTCAAGAATGATCGTTCTCCCTTTGCCTGATTAGTGCTAAACGCAGCGCGTGGTTGGGGACTTTTTTGCCGAGATTTAGGGTATGTGGGTCGGCCGCTCAATTGTAATTTTTTGGTGCATTTTTTGCTTGAGTTCTTTCGTGACGGGAAAAATTCAAATGTTAGAGGGTGGGGGTGCGCGGCTGATTTTTCGCAGAGAATAGACTCTAAACGGTCAAGTTTTTGTGATGAATCATTAAAGACCTTTTGATTATGCTTCAAGTTCAAGCTTCAGAATGGGCGTTCTTGAATATTGTAAGACTTTGTGCAGAGTGTTCAAGGGGTGCGTTAATGTGTGTCAAAATATCGCCAATTCAAAGAGGAGGCTTTTCGAGAAACCATGAAGTTTTTTGTGCATATAGATGTGATATTCGGAAAACGAATGATTGTGTTCAGTTAGTACAAGTTCTTGTTGTATTTAAACGAACATTTTTGCGCAGAGCGCGCGGTAGAGGTAAGATATTCGGGAAATGATTAAGTGAGTTTCCAATATGATGATACGGGGGGAAAAAGGTTGCCTATAGATCCGTTCTATCGGCGGCTACGTATATCAGTCTTTGAATTGGTTGACAAAACGAGTTAAGCGAGTTCATGTGCGATTGTCGTGGTAAGCGAACGAGACCTGAAAGATCTGAGGAACAAATCGGATATATTTAGGCGCATGTGGCCGAGAAATCGTAAGAAAAACTGTTTGAGAATACCAATTGGTTTTAGATGTGTCTGCTGAAGAATGTCCAGCGCGCACGATTGTGGAATGCCAATTACCGGATCCAATGGGATGTAAGTTCTGGTAACGAGAAGAAGAAGTTGCATGTTACTCGAAGTACGATCCAACTGATGCCACTTCAGAAGGGAGCATTGAGTGATCGAAGTGAGTTCTTTCAAATCCTTACATGTTCCCGATAGTCAGCATGACAAGGTTAACGCTTTGACCCAGGTGTATACCGTACATGGGCCTGAAGGTGCAAAAAGAGTTAGAACGGTGACGCGGCGTTGCGACGCGCTAGGCGATGCGTCTAGTCGCTGCCATGCTAGAGCGAATGCTAGACGGGAACTCAGCTATGGACGGCACCGACCGCTAGCGTTTTGAGAGAGTAGGAGAATGAGAGGGCTAGTGTGCCTCCAGATGACAAGTTTTTGGGAGTGCAGCACACGAGATCTGGTGCCTCCTTATTCTCTATACGCTCTCAAAACCCATGCGACCGGGGGCCATCAATTACGAACCATATGATTAGGCAATCCAAACCTTATAATTTGTTTTATATTTCTCCCAAAAGCACTAGCTGACTCGACATATAATCTGTTTGTTAATTACCCGACTACCATTGCGGAGCGCATATTATGTGTGGCAGCGTGTGAGGCTGCCGGAGCGCGAGAATCATCCGCAAAGATGTGAGACGGCTTATCTAGCAAGATTCGTCTGTGTCTTTACAGGCCATAACTAATTAGCGGCTCATGGTCTTTAGCGGGGGGGGGGGAGTTTTCTGCAAGTTTGTACGTTAAGCGCTCAGTGCATTTTCTGTATAAGTGATTCGACCACCACCGCCATCCACAATAAATGAAGCAGGTCCTGGTGCGAATTTCGCGCACGTGACACTACGTACAACGCCGCATCGCTGCAACGTGGGCCTCCTGGAGGGCCTACGAGCTCCCATGGCTCGAAGTATGAGGAAGACCTGTCGTCTCACCTCTATCATCTTATCCTCCCTCCGTGCCTGCCTGCCCTCCTATGGTAGGGATGCCGCAACAACTATACAGTCATTTTTGCTGCAGACGCTTGGGGGGGGACGTGTCAGCAGAAAATAGGTTTTCTACCAATTTTTGTTGCTTGCGCGCTCCTACAGGTGGAAACAGTTGAAAACGAAAACGGCGCTGCTCCAAACTCACTCCCAGTCAACACCTCCCCCTTTTCCCCAGCGTCTGCAGCGAAAATGAGTAGATAGTGGTTGCGGCATCCCTACCAAAGGGGCCACTTTTAAATTGGGGGAATTTTTCGTTTTCCAATTTTCCCCGTTTCAAGCGCGCTATAGGAACCCTAGTGGGTGGCTCCGCTCTACTCTTCGTGGGGCACCTTGATTGCCGTAAGAGATGATATTTTATTCAGTAATTGTGTTTACTAACTCGTTTCTAGCTTCATCAGGACCATCACCGTTGACGTCGTCACTGGGCCCGTCGCCTCTTGGTGGTGTTGTTGATCACGATGCCTCGGATTCTGAATCGGAAGTGGACGAAGAAGATCGTACACTTGTCGATATGGACATTCAAGAAGCAGCAATGCAACAACAAGCGATTACACGAGACAACGAGCTGGCGGCATTCTAACGGAAGTCATGCCATGTTCTCACCGCCATTCTCCCAAGAATGAACTGCTTTGGCATGCAATTTATTTCAATTGAGAGAGGTGATTGTATTTTTGTACTTCTATTAATCGGGTTTTTAGTTGTCTATCTACTCATGTTTTACTTATACTGCCACCCTGCCGTGAATATTTCCTGATTTGTTTGGTGTTTATTTCTGTGTTAGCATGAGATCAACTAATGACCGGTGTCAGATGGTTGCTACTCATGCTCTCAGTCTCATTTTGTGTGTTGTTTGTGTCTCTCTCTCGCTCAGCATACGCGCGGTCGATCGGGTTTTAGCTGTTGTTCTCCCCCGTACTTCTGTTAGTGTATTGTCAGTGGGATTTGACGATATTCCGCTGAATTCTTGAATTTTTTTATGTAGACGTGGTGCATTTTGAATTCGTCACGGTTCCTCCCCGTTATACTACCCCATTTCCCCAGACTCCTCGTCATGTTTCCCTCCCCGTCCTTACAGGGTCACCAAATACACAGCCCTTCTTTCACTCAGTCGCTTCGAAAGCATCTCATTGTTACTTGGTTTCTCGTATTTTTCATTTGTCGTTTATCTATATATGGAAATATGGATGATTTTGGTGTTTAATTAATTGTGTAATGTTTAGTGTTATAGTAGGTTAGAAATTAGCGCCGCTCATGGATGTCCCCCCTAGCCAGTGGAGGTGCTCCATGAGAATTCGTATTTGAAATGTCAACCAACAAAACCCGAACCTCATCACATACATAGTTAAGGCTCACTTTGATGTATTTTTCGCCAGTTTTCCTCTATTTTCCACCAGCGACTAGTTTCGCTGTTACCGAGTAAGTCGCGTATGTGCAATAACATTACGCGCAAAGTAAGAGTGTTTATGTGGTAATGTTTCTTTCGTTTTTCTTCCTTGAGTGTACATATGTCCTCTAGGACTATTTTGTTTTTCCCCTTCATATTCATCGACCAATTCGTGGTCATAAATGTGCTCTTATCATTTGCAAATAATAAATATTGATTACAAATGTACGGCCAGAGAAAGAGTGAAGCTTACGGAATCTGATTGCCCTGCAGATTTCTCGCGAGTTAAATGCGCCCATAGACAACCTAGACGGAGTCGCTAAATGAGACTACAGGAAAAAAAAAGGCAAAGAAACATATGGAAAACACCCTAAGTAGACCCGGCAGCCCCTTTGGACGAGTTCTCCGGAGCTGCTCGTTTTACGCCAGCAGAGCGGCATCCTGCCGCCTCTGGCTCACTAATCCTTTCCTCGCATCACTCAATGCTATTACTATGTTAGAGTGGAAAAAAAAACGAAAAAACGCAGCGTGAAACTGCATCATGCAGACACTAGTCTTAGCTCGGTGGCGGGCAACTATGAAGGCGTATAGAGCTTCACCCTCGATGATGATCACAGCGCCTTCGTTACTAGAACCATCCGAAAGTAGGATTACTCCTAAAAGAATGAGGATCAGGCTGCTTGTACAAGGAAGGAGGCCTACAAATTGTTTGAGCGCGGGACTCTCTTTCAGATTGGCAGACGTGGTCAGGTAAGTCAGGGTTGAACTCTTGAGTCTTGCACCTAAAATTCAGCTACAGTTAGCAGTAAGGTCCCCTTAATTGACAAGAGAGGTCATGGCCATTCGTATGAAATTTACCACTCAATGGCACACCTCATCAGCATGAAGTTTTAAAATACTGGCGTGGTATCGTTCACGACGGAACAACCTTGTACCATTTATTTTGTATTTGACGGCAAGAAATTGTTTAGGGATGCACTTTAGGCGCAGTTATTTCTATGTCCGTTTTCACAAGAAATCCAGAGGCGAACTGTACTTCAATTTAAATGATTCTGCTTGGTTTCTCTCTATTTTTTCGACTAGAAGATAAAGCGATCCACCCTCACTATACGCGTGCTGTTTCTTTTTTTATAGTGCAGTGACGCCTCCTTTCGTCCGCTGACTCCGCCTCCAGTCTCCGCCCCTCCCAGTGAAAAAACGAAGCTGCCGGACGAAAATTGTCGCTTGTTCGTGGAGTTCTATCTTGGCGCACTTGGCATATTTTTTCTGCTTTTTTCTTCACTATCGAGTTACACAGCACATTGTCGTCTATACGCCCCTAATCCACTATCTGTGATTGCGAATGATCGCGGGCTTTGCCTTCAAAGGTAGTTTGACCCTTTTACACAGATATCTCATTCGTTGAATGCGAGAACGCCTGCTGCGAGCGCTTCAAGAACCTCCAAGCCCAGCCCCTCTTCTGGCCGCAAGATCTCCAATTGGCTAGGAATCCTTGCAAGCTCTCTAACAGGCAGTTATAACCAAGCAGTGATAAAGAAGAAACATGAAATGTCTTAGTAGTCACGTTTCGTTTGAAAAGAGAAAGCGAAAAATTACACACGGCAGGGATTCGATCCCACACCTGTCGGCTCTTGAGGAAAGGACTAGGAAATTCCCTACGAACTGGTACCATTTTTGTGAGACAGGGTCAAGCGTCACGTCGCAAAAAATTACCTGGTGGGTACGACCCTTTTTCGGAGGAAGTGCCCATACGGACCCCTTCCCCCCTCCCTTACAGGCTTTCGATGTATCTGCCTAATTTCTGCGATTGCATAGCATGATGCGAGATTGAAGCGTTTTATGAACCAATGGATAGAGGATAAAAGATAAAGTCTTCGTCGTTGATCAATCCCTTTTGGGATGCGGCACGCATTCTACTTCCATTCAGAATCGTAGTGGCTTATTGAATGCGATGTGGCCTATACAATGACTTGCGGGGCCAGCCGATGTACAAGTCAGTGTTTTATCCTCCCAGACGAATCTGGTACCAATTTACCGTCCCCGGAGGGTAGAAGGCTTGGTTGGCCTGGGCGGGTTGTCACTACACCACGCCCGCCTCATGAACCAGTGGACTACAACCAAATTTCACCCTTCTTGGAAAATGCATCACATCAGACGAAAATATGATCCCCTTACC